GCCGCCTCCTGCACATCTCCTACTGGGGATGTGCCCACAACCCAGGTACATGCCCTTGACCGGAATCGAACCCGGGACCCTTCAGTCCGCAGGCCGACGCTCCATCCACTGAGCCAAACCGGCCTCGGCAACCTGATCACTCTTGTACTGCCCCATAGTCACACTCCTTATGATTCTTCCCCCATAATAACTTACTTATCTCCGTGCCTCCCCTACATGAGCTAATCGACAAAAAGAAAATGATAACAGTAACAAATGCAGGTAAGTCACTGGGTTATCTTTGTGAAGTTGCTACTTAATCACTGGATTTGGAGTAAAAATAAATCCTTGGTTAGTATATTGTTTGGGGATACGTACATAGGTAGTAAAACCATGAGAAAAGCAAAAGAATGATATAAACGAAACTCAGGGCAGTGGTTGTCTCTTGGGAGTCTGAACGAGGGACAGGTGCACAGGGGTCTCACAGCTGGGTGCTCATGGAGTGTCCAGTTTTGACACTGAAAGTGTACTTACATGTCTTAATCGTTCTTTTGTGTTAAGATGTATTTCACAATAAAAATACTAAGGAAAACAACACTTATTACCTCTGTAACCATGGGGATCGAGTAGTCCTAGCTCATCACAGAGCTTTGTGGGGACAATGTGTGTGACCGTGACTTGCACACCCTAAAATGTCAGAGGACCGTGTGTTACGATTAGTTTTCTAAGTAAGGTAAGGCCTCCGGGGCCAATGCCTTTATGGTGGGGGATGACTCCTCAGCTCCTACCTGACAGCTAGACCAACTATGCATATCCCTTCCCTAAGGGGACCCACCCTCCCAACCAGACAGGAGGCAGCTTGGGACGAGACAGCCAACTCGGCAAGGGGGCTGAATAGGAGGGACAAGTGAGGGGGCGGGGGGGGGGCAAGCGCCTGCCTTCCAATCAGCCGCCTCTGGCCCCGCTCGGGTCCCAGGGCGCACTCACCGGCCGTCAGGACCTGAACTTTCCACGGGTGGGCGTTCAGGGCCCGCTGGTATGCCCGCCAGAGCGCCATGCTTCCTGCCGAGCCAAGAGGAGGGGTTCAGCCCACTGCCCGCCCACAAGCAGAGAGACGCTGGGCTTTCCCTGGGGCCCATCCCTCTCCCCCTCCCGCTCCCGCTCCCATGGTCCACCCTCGAGGGGCTCGGGAGGGTGTTTCCTGGACAGCTTCCGGTCAGAGGGTAAACAGGAAGGCCGCGGGGGACTGTGAAATGCTGGCGGCAGCCTCCCGCCACCGCACCCCAGCCCGGGAGCAGGGCCACCGGGGACCTCCGCCCCACGAGGCGCTGCTGAGGACGGGCTCGCTCCGGCTTTCCGCAGAGCCTGGCCGGTCCCCAGGTTCGGACTCTCAGTCGGAACCAGCCCGCATCCTTCCTGAGTCCAACTCCATGCGGGACACAGGGCCGGTCCCTCCCGGGCCTGGAATGACCACGTACGCCGTCGGGTGAGCCCCGCCCCTTCCGCCTGGCTGGGCGGAGGCTTTCCCCCGCGGCGGGCGCAGGGATGGGGCGGACTGATTCGTCACTGCTGCTCGTGGACAGCGGTCAGCTCCGCCGGAGCGACGGGTTTTCCCAGTTGACTAAGCCCCAAGCCGGCCTGGGCGTGGCCCCGCCGGTCACGCTTCCCACCTCGGTCCGACCCGGTCTCCTCCTGCCCCTCCCCCGGAACTGGCCAGGGTCCTGACTTCTGTCTCCGTCTCAGTTTGGAAACTCCAAGCCAGTTAAGCGTGTCATTTGTCTCAAGGTTCTTCTTTAGCCGCAATTGTGAGCTCCTGAGTGGGTGGGACTGGGTATGTTCATAGCTGCCTTCCTCACAGCAACTACTGCAATGCTTTGTCCACAACAGCCTTTAGGAATGCTGCATAAAGATGACTCCTGCATTGGGATTGGAGCCTTACGAAGTTTAGGTACTGGTTTCTTTTTTTAAAAATGTTTTATTAATTTTTTTGAGAGAGGGAGAAACATCGATGAGAGAGAAACATCCATCAGCTGCCTCCTGCACGCCCCCTGCTGGGATCGACCGGCAACCCAGTCATGTGCTCTGACTGGGAATCAACCGGCAACCTTTTGGTGCCCGGGAGGACGCCCAACCCATTGAGGCACACCGGCTGGGCTAGGTACTGGTCTCTGAACTAGTGGCGGGGCAGCCCTGGTTATCACTAGACTTGAACTTAAGGCTCCTTATCTGTGAAATAAGGGGCGTGGACTTTAACAAACTGGGCTCCAGTTTTACGGGTTTATGTTTGTGAGGATGGCTATCCCTACAGATTCTTCTTTATCTCAACTTGTTACAAATATATATACTAATAGAAAGAGCCACTTTTAAACAAAAGGGCCTACAACTAAAAGTGTTGGGGATTAGGTGATTTCCTAATTACCCTTTACCGCTCTAACATTCTAAAATTTTGTGAATATAATGAAACATCCTCCTGAGGGAGGTAGAAACTCTTCCACGATCCTTGGCAGTGGATTTGTTAGCCTTTGCTAACTATATCCACGAAGCCCACATTTCAGGAGGCAGTCATGTCTGATTGTTTTTCAGGCTCTGGCTATCTGCAGCCCCAATATACTCAATTCCTATATGATTAAGGCAGGGAGAATCCTGTCACAGATACTGGAATAAGGAAGCAAGAGAATTCAATGTTGCAAACCTTTAACTAAAACCTTTTACAAGCAAAACACCATAATAGAGTGGATTTACACTAGTAAATAGACCAAATGTGGCAGGTTGGAAAGTTGTATTCTGATGTCAGACTGTCCAGGTTAAAATCCCAGTACCATCGCTTAGTTCTATGACCTTATTCAGACTGGTTAACTGCTCAGAATCTTACCTTTATCAAGTAAAATAGAGTAAAACCTGCATCATATGATTAACTGACATATGCAAAGAATCCAAAATAGACCAAGTGCTTAATGAACACTTGTTTATCCTCCTTCTTTTCTTCCCTCTTGGGGACACATGGAATAATTTTTACTGGAGAAATCTGGGAAGCCCCTTAGTGAAGGTAGAATTTGAGCTGGGATCTTGAAGAGTGCTTAGGTGGAGAAGCTAGAAAAGGACACTCCCAGAGGAGGGACTCGTGTGAGAACAGCCACAAGGAGAAGTGCAGAAACCTATGAATAATATAAAGTGGATATATTGGGAGGGAAGGTTAGAAAGGGAGTGGCGTGGAAAGGGGTTTATGTTAGAGAAAGCAAGGCTGAAAACGTCTTTCTGATTTTCTTTTGTAGGTCAAGACGGGCTGACACTCAGCAGCAGGGTTGCCAGCACCCACCTACAGCCTCAATAGCATGGGTCCCCAGGTCCCATCCTTTTTACCACTGAAAGGGGGATTTCGATAATGCAGTGTCCAGGGACTGCTGTGTAGGATGTGGGAATTTCTCTGCAGTGGAAGGCAGTTCCTTTTCAATCAGCTCAAAAAGAGAACTGGCAAAACCCGAGCTGGATCACAATAGGATGGTGCAATACTTGGCTCTTTTGTACTGACGTGGGCTGTGGTTCCTCTGCTACTAATGGTCTGGGTTGCCTCCAGGTCTGTTTCCTCTTCTGTACAGGAAGGAAATTGAAGTACTTGATTCCTTTCTTAAAGGTTTTCTGACATTTGATAAATTCCTTACACTTAAGAGGCAGAAAGCTATTCCCAGATATCTGGCCAATCAGTCTAGAGTGCCAGAGGGCTTTGTTCCAGGTAGGCACTAAACTAATTTCTACTCCCTTCAAATAGCAGCTGGCTGTGTATTTTTCTCTAGAATAGTTGAAGTCATCTACTTACCCCAAACCTCAGATTGTACTCTTATACATTCCAAAACTATGATTTGCCTCTTTCTCATTGCTGGGTATGTCCTAGCTTAGGAAGCAGTATTGCAGTCATGAGCCTGCAGCACCCCACAAAAGGGTGTTAACAAGATGGTCTGTAACAATACAGCAGGTCCTCAAATAACATCATTTCATTATAATGAGATGCCATAGGAACTTAAATCTTGTTTGTCAATTCACCTATAATAAAGTTGGTTTCCTTATATGTTGTTTAAAGTCACAGAACCTTGCCCTGGTTGGGTAGCTCCGTTGGTTAGAGCATCGTCCCAATACACCAAGATTGCGGGTTTGATCTCCAATCAGGGCACATAAAAGAAGCAACCAATGAGTGAATGAATGAATGGAACAAAACAAAAAAATCGATTCTCTCTCTCTCTCTCCCTCCCTATCTCTAAAAATCAAGACATTAAAAAAAAATGTCACACAAGCTATTGATAATAAGTGTGGACTTACTGTATTTGGGTTCTAAACATCTATATATAGGGTTGAAATAAAGTAGTTAAACATGTTTAATGTGACAGTATCATGAAGGGTCAAAAATCATAACGTGTAAAAGAATGGTTAAGGTAACTGAAGATATTTAATCTAGAGAAGGAAAGACTTGGGAAACATCTGATAGCTATTTTAAACAAAAGGGCAATCACAGGTGGGAATTGCTAGAATTCCTAATACCAATGGTAAAATCTATAGAGGTATACTCTGACTGGATATAAAGGAAGATGTTTTAAAACATGACTGTCTAGGAGTGTTCAAGTAGGGTCAGATGACCAGTGATCAGGAATATTTCCTAAGCAGGAGCAAGTAAGATCTGAACCACCGTCCTCTTGGTGGTGTGTGGTGTTCCTCAGTTAAAGAACCACTATAAGCAGCTTCAGTCCAACAACTTGCTACCCCCGCCCCCATGGGCTTGCATGTTGGTTACTCTAAACAGGAAGCTGGCAGGGCAGTAATACTGGATCCTGGGATATAGTCAGACAGAAGCCTTCCTGCAGATACTCTTTCCAGTTTTCCAAACACCCACTCACATGTGGTCTCAAAAACACCCAGTACCTTTACTTAGCTTTACCCACTTCACAATATGCTCAATATGAGCAATTTGACTCCCAAGCCTAGATCAGGCCTGAGTGTTTCTTGTGAGCCAGTTTTAGGCTAAGGAGCCTTGAGAGTTTGTGGAGGGCAAGCCTCCCTGCCCACAGGGGCCTTGATGAGAGCTGAAGTCGATGGAAGGAGAGGTATCTAAGGAATCCTGGGAGGCAGGTCTAAAGGTCCAGGCCTGGCAGCATCACTGTCCAAGAAGGCCCAGTTTCTATGGTCTATGCCTAGGGCCATTTGTTCTTGGCAGACTTCATTCAAGGGTCTTGTGTGGACCACGACTAGGGATGGGGCACAAGGCGATGGCTGGTTGAAGAGAAGCCAGGCCCTTTAGTAGGGGAGGACGATTGGAACACAGCATTGAAGTGGGCTCGGCTTTCAAGCTGCATACGGTGGCCCAATGGGGAGGTGAGTCCACGCACAAAATGGATCCGAACCAGCCCTGACTGCCCCCCAGATACGAGCCATCCATAGGAGTCCAGGTTTGGGCTGAAACGTACCTGTGAAGAGAATAGAAAAAAGAGAGATGCTCATAGTTGGTGTTTTAGGGTGAGTCTCAGCTGTGAGAGCAAAAAACCTGGCCACAATCTGACAGGATAGGACCATGAGGGGGTGAGAAGACAGTGAACAAAGTAAGTTCTTGAAGATGAGTTTTCCAGAGCTATTTTCCCTCCTAAGCCCTCTTGGTTGCTTTTCATCTCCCATTTCACTGATCACAGGTCCAGAGTTGGGAGGAAATGAGAGCGACGGGTGGAGAAGATAAGAGGCAAGGTTCTTACTTTATGAATAGCCTCCAGCTGCAGCCTGTCCAGACAGAGCTGAGCCTGCCCCTCTCCCTCCTGCATCCGCAGCACTGGTTCTCTACGGAGCAGATCATGGAACGAACCCTGGGGAGGGGAAGTGTAATGAGAAACAATGAGCAGCTTCTTAGGTTTGCATCTTTGAACTGGAACTCTTTAGGTTTCCCTATTATATAAGGACTAAAGTTTTCTACTGTTCCTAGTGTCACACCCATTCTCCTGGGCCAATTTACCAAATCTGTGTCTTGAAAGAGCAAGTAGTGATGGTTGACGGTTTCAGCATAAGTTCGAGCCTTGGGTGGGTTGAGGGCTCCAGATGCAGCAGAAGAGTGGTCTTGACCTTCAGGACTATCCTGATACGGCATCAAATCTGCTTTATATATAGGCTAGAAAGGAGACCATAAGATTAGGTCTCATGAGACTGAAGACAAAATGAAAGTAAAAGAGAGAAAATTGATTTGGGGCAGGAGAGACTTAAAGATGGAGAAAGTAGTATGTTTAAACAGATTTTCAGATGAACTAGGGTAGGCAATATTATGTGTAACAAGACTTCTGGGGATAATACCTGTGCAACCTGGTACTAATTTGAACTAATCTGTAGTACTAATTTGGGAGGTCATGTGGATTAGAAACTAATAAATGGTGCTGCCATTAAATACTCATATACGTACAAATCTTCGCTCTACAGGTCGCTTGACAGTTATTGGGTTCAGTGCCATATCAGGCAAAATAGCTG